TGTGTCTTCAAATATGCAAGGAAAATGAAAGAGGGTAGAGCAGGAGGGGAGCTGAGTGTCCCGACTTCATTTCAAGGGGGAACCTTCCCCCGTTATCCTTTCACACTTTGCAGGAAACCAGAAGCCAGTCTGAGGATAACACGGCATTCCAGTACCTGAAGGGCCCCAGTTCAGTGCCTGAGGGGCCAGTGTCAAGCTATCTCCCGCCTGACCGTGAAAGAACTCACAGCTTGGCGGACGCGAACACTGACACCACACGCAAGTATGATCACAAAGGACTTCCTGCTTCTCACAGGAGGAGGAGGGGGTGGCTCATTGCTTGAGGGATGGCAGTGGAGACATGTGAGCTGGACTTTGAAAGATACGTTGAGTTTCCACTTACTTGTGGAAGCTGGACGGTAAAAAAGGCTGAGTGCTGAAAAACTGATGCCTTCGAACTGTGGTGGCTGGGGAAGACTCTTGAGAGTCCCTTGGACTGCAAGGAGATCAAACCAATCAATCCTAAAGGAATTCAACCCTGAATATTCATTGGAAGGACGGATGCTGAAGCTGAAACTCCAATACCCTGGCCACCTGATGTGAAGAACTGACTCATTGGAAAAGACCTTGATGCTCGGAAAGATTGAGGGCAGGAAGAGAAGGGGACGACAGAGGATGAGATGGTTGGATGGCATCACTGACTCGATGAATATGAGTTTGAGCAAGCTCTGGGAGTTGGTGAAGGACAGGGAAGCCTGATGTGCTGCAGTCCATGGGGTCGCAAAGACATGACCGAGCAACTGAACAACAACAAGTTTCCACTGGGCAGAGGGAGGGTCCAGCAGAGGGGACAGCTAAGCCTGGAGCGCATGTGCCCCCCTCCCAGGGGTCAGAAACCAGCACCTTCTCTCCAGAGTGGTAACAACAGACACAAAGGGCTGTAGGAGCACAGAGGCTGCTCCGGAGATGTGGGTCCTGAGCGTGGATTTAGGGTGGAAAGGGAGGAGGGGACTTGAAGATCAAGGAGCTTGGGCTTTGTCTGGGGAAAGAGGAGGGTTGACAATTAAGGGATCGTGCAATCAGCATTTTGGTTCTGAGTTCTTCCTGAACTGATAGGGATGCAAGATGGTTGAGGGGGTTAAGAGGCAAAAGACTGATGCAGCGTAGGCCAGAGATGATGAGGTCTGAGCTGGGAGAGCAGATGAAGGACAAACAAGAGGGATTCGGGAGTTCTGGGGATGGAGGCGCCTGTCTCCAGGAGGTCCTGCCTCCGCACCTGGGGAGGGGTCCGTTGGGACCAGCACTGCTAACAGTCCACCTGCATCCTTCACAGGCCCCTGCTGCAAGCTGAATTCTGCCTGGGCTGTGGGGATGGAGCTCCTGATGGTAAAGGCAAAGAGGCCAAGGACAACCCCTGGGAGGCAGGAAGGAGGGGAGCAGGCAAGGCGGCCCTGAAGAGGGAAGTGTGCTTTCCCGATACACCAGAAATGGCACGGCAGGAAAGGAGGGGGGCGGGCAGTGGTCCAGGGATGCATGCAGCCCAAGATGGATGAGGCTGAACCTGATCTCATCTATTCATTGAACCCGCTCTGGCTGCAGGCCATGCAAGGACCCAGCCAGTGGACAGTGACAGGGTCAGTGTGGCCGGACTGTGTGTGTGTGGGGGGGCACCAGCAGAAGGGGAAGGAAGGGCAGGAGAGGGAGGGGGCAAGAGGTCCAGATGGCATCCGTGGGCCCTTCTTGGGGATGGGCCGATCTTATAGGCAGAGAACAGGGACTCAGCTCCCCACAGAGCATCTCTCTTCCAGGAGGAAGGAGATGCCTGCTTTTGTGATCACTCCAATTATCCGCTACAAACGAGCAGCCAATTACAGAAGGGGATAAACACAGTGGGACTTCCTATTAGGCACCAGGCGGTGGGGGGAGTCTCCGATCACTCACTCCAGTGATGGAGCGGCCTCTGGTTCTTCCTGATCAGTGGCATTGAGAAAACACAGGGCCCGCTGTCACTCGCTGGCCTCCTGTATTACGGCAGCCTCGGTTCCCCAACGCTCACCAAGGGCCACGGGGCTTCTCAGGCCCTGTCCTGCCCTGGAGGGGCTCCATCTAGACTGTGACCCCGGGAGACCACCCAGCAACCATGCCTCCAGGTGAGAGATGAGGAGGGGTGAAGGGAGGACGGTCCTCATCCTAGGAGCTGATATTCACATTTCAGCCCAAACAATGCTGGTAGAATTCAGCCTTTTAAAAAAAATTTTTTTTAATTGATTTATGTACTTTTGGCTGTGCTGGGTCTTTGTTGCTGTGTGTGGGCTCTCTCTAGTGTGGCGAGCAGGGGCTACTCTCTAGTTTCGGTGTGAGGGTTTCTCTTGCTGCAAAGCATGGGCTCTAGAGTGCAGGCCCGGGAGTTGTGGTGTATGAGCTTAGTTGCCCTATGGCATGTGAAATCTTCCCCGAGCAGGGATCGAACCCATGTCCCCTGCACTGGCAGGCAGATTCTTAACCAGCGAACCGATAGGGAAGTCCCCAAATTCAGCCGACTGATTATTTTTTCCCTAAAAAATTCAATGTGTTTGGTTGGTCTGGAACCTGATGATGGCATCCCATTTTGGCAAGTGCATGCTTTCTGGAAACCGACCTCAAGAAATGATAGCAAGTTAGAACTTTGTCTAAAAGATGCTTTGCTGCTCCCAGCTGCTAATAAGCGTGTGGGGACCATTTACTTGGGTCGTTCGCTGTGAAATCCATCTGCTGCGGTCACAGGGCTCTGGGAGAGCAGACGCAGGGTTTTCAAACTCATTTTCTCACAGTGGACAGTTTAGGAACGCTGATGGCCCTGACCTGTGACACCAGATGGCATGGCAGTGTGCAGAGCCCTGGGGGTCCACAGGCAGGAAGGACCCACCAGTGCTGTTTGGAGCTGGATTCATACTCACCTGGGTACACAGAGGGGATGGGGCTCTGGAGTTGACTAACAGACCTGGACCAAGGCCTGACTTATGTGACCTCCCAGGCCTTGTTTTCCCTTCTCTGAAAATGGGACTGCCCCGGACAACTGGAAAATAGAGCTGATGACACCTCTAAAATGTTCCCACTTGGGAAGCACTTGCTGCTCATAGGGTTCCTCCTGTCCCTCCCACCTGTGGCCACCTCCTGCTTTTTGCTGGGAAAATAGAGGCATTTATTTTCTTTATAGAAAGAATGAGTCTCCCAGCATGTGCCCTGCAGGGCTCGGGGACTGCCAGGGGGCCCCCTGGGCTGGGGACAGGCTGCAGACCTGGGTCTGCCCTGCGCTTCCAGGAGCAGGACGGGAGAAACAATGGATGAGGGCATCACATGGGAGCCACCCTGTGGGGGTGGGGGAGGCAGACTTCACACCTTGAGGGAATGGGCGTCTGGCGAGAGGGAAGGTCAGGCAAGGATCAACAGACCCCCACCCCACCCCCTAAACTGGCCAACGGCTGGAGGGATCTTAGATTAACAGCCTTCCCTCTGGGTTGAAAAATATTCCAGGGTGGGTGACTCCCAGCCGTGCATTTCAACAGACGCTTTGTGAGCACCTACGAGGGACCAGGCTCTGTGCTGGACCTTGACCAACTGCTCCCACTGGTTGGAGTGAAGGGGATTTGGCTCAGAGACAGGGAGGAGCGTGAGGAGGAAGAGGAAAAGCGGGGGAAGGAAGATGTCTGTGCTGGTCTCGGACACATCTCTGACACTGACACCCATGACCTTTCCCGGTCCCTACATTTGTGAGCATTTTCTGAGTCCCACTGTGTGCCAGGCACCATGCTAACAAATGCCGTCCAAGACCCTTCATCCCCCTCCCTCAGAGCCTGATGGTGAGCTCCTTCCAGGGCCCTCCAGGGTCCCTGATAAAGGGGGACTGTCTGGGAAGGGCCATGTTAACCCCAAACCCAGCAGCGTTCTGGGGAGATTGGCTGTACAAGGGCAGCTTCTTGTCTGCCTGTGGTCAGCGGGCCCTGGACCCTGACTTGCCTGTGGCCATTTTCCAAAGTGCTCCCTTTGGCTGCCTCTGAAGCCTCCCCCTGAAGGGGGGGGGGGGAACGTCTGGGGATATGAATGGAGACAAGGGAAGGGTCTCGTTGAAGGGAGGGTGTGACTCCCCTTTCCCCGACACTTCTAACGTCAAGCTCTGACTCGCTCTGATCCTTACGAAGGGCTTATCGACACATTCCTCCCCTCTGAAGCCCCCACCTTCCCCAGGGCTCCATGCATACTCTGGGCACACATGGTGATCGCCCCACCGGTGGAGAGCTCTGATCAGAAAACACATGACCAGGGAACTCCTGCTGTGGGGTCAAACCAAATGGGACAGAAGGTGGCTCACAGGCTCCAGCCAGCTCTGAGACTCCTGGGAGCCTTCCTCAGCTACCTCTCAGTGAAATCTGTATCTTAATGAGTAACACACAGAACATTGCTGGCAACAGACAAGCTCGTGAAATCAGCCAGGTCGGTCTGTTAACTGCACCCACGCAGCACATGATTGGGGTGGGAGAGCGCGCAGGCCTCATGGGTATTTCCACTTCATTTTCACAGAACGGGGTGGTAGGAAGTCAAACATGATGTTGCTAAGCTCTAACCATATTCTCTCTGGGTGGGGGGAGGGGCCCGGGGGCAGACCCCAGACTCCGATGCCTCGAGTTCTTTCCTCTCCACGGCTCTCCATCTTGGGGTTGTTGGTGCCCCCACCCTGCCCCAAACACAGCAGCTTTTTATCCCCAGGTGTGGCTTCCCATGAGCCCAGAAGAGAAGAGGCCATCTGCCACGTTTTGCATATCATATGTCCGCTGATGGCTCGCGAGCAGGTGGGCCACCAAGAGGTGCTGGGGAGGAGAGCGGGCGAGAATCAGGCGGGCTGGCCAAGCGCAGCTCAGCGGAACGTGGAGACGAGGAGCGGGATCTCGGGCTGGGACTTAGCATCCTGCCATCTCTCCACCAGCAGGAAGCCCAGGGGTGGAGTCTTTCGGGCTCAACCTTCTTCCGGGAAGGCAGAGCGGCCCTCAGGACAGAGTGTGTCTGGAGTGGGAGACCTTGTGGGCGCCGTCTGTGCAGGGCTGGGGCCGGCCCTCTGCCGGCGGGGCTGGGGGCGCGGCCTCCTGCGGGGTGGCGCTGGGCTGGAGCCTGCTCCCCGACGATATGCCGCTGCGGCCACACACCAGGCGCTTCTCGTCCTGCAAGGACAGGTGGTATTCACACAGGTCGATCAGCGAGGCCACCTGCTCGTGGAGCGGCAGCATCTTGAACTTCCTCTGAGCCAGGTAAAAGAAGGCCTCCACGAAGGCCTGCAGGCACATCCCTGTGGACAAGAGACCGGCGTTAGGGAGGGGCATGGTGCGTGCGCGCAGGCGCCCTGGCTTCCCGACGCCAACCACCAGGCTCTCTGCCCACAGCGGTTCCCTTTTGGAGAGGAAACAGGGCCGTCTCAGCGTGCCTGACCAGCGTCCAGCCAGCTGGGCATTCACAACCACTTGCAGATTCACCCTTTAAGCAACCCTGTGAAGAAGGTTCAATAACCCAGTTTTACACATGGGGAAACTGAGTCTTAAGAGAACTGGAGCTTGGGCAAAGTCCAGTGGTAGAAAGCGGTAGGGCTGGGATTTAAACCTAGCCCAACGCCTTTATCCCCTTGCATTGCCATCAAATGTTCCCATTAAAACCCAGCCCAAAATTTTTATAATAAGGGAGAGGGTGTGAAGATGAGTCCAACGTGATGGTTATTCTATATCCTCATGGAAAGTGCTAGGTGCTCAGTCGTGTCCGACTCTTGGTGACCCCATGGACTGTAGCCTGCCAGGCTCCTCTGTCCCTGGGATTTCCCAGGCAAGAATACCGGAGTGGGTAGCCATTCCTTTCTCCAGGGGATCTTCCCCACCCAGGGATCGAAACTGGGTCTGCTTACACTGCTGGCAGATTCTTTATCATCTGAGCCACCTGGGGAAAGCCCTCATAGGCCTGTCAGTTACATGAGCGTGTATGTTTCTTGAAATCCACAAATTGTACCTTAAGTTAAAATCTGTGCATTTTGCTACGTGTAAATTTTACCTCAAAAAGTAAAACATACCTGACCCCTTCTCTATACTCAAAACCCTATTCTGAAAGGTATTAGTTGGAGACCCCATTCTGCGCCTGGAAGGTTCTTCTACTTTGCCTCATAAACTCCTACTCACTGGGGCTCCGTAGCTCAGGGGTTAGAGCACTGGTCTCGTAAACTCCTACTCATTCTTGGGATTTGAGCTGAAAAATCACTTACTCAGCAAAACCTCCTCTGAGTCCCAGGTTAGATCCAGGCCCTGGTAGAGGCTTCTTGCCTTTTTCTTGGTAGCACCTTTGTAGTTCAAGGTTTTATTAGAGCGGTTCACTGACAATCTCTAGCTTCCCTGCTGGACTGTGGGTTTCAGCTCACCTCAGCCCCCCAGTGCCAGGTCCCCAGAAGATGCTTAATACAGAGGGACTGACTACATGAGTGAATGAACGAAAGAGTCAGCATTAGGTGCTTCACAGACATGCCTTTGCAAGGTCACTATTACGATGTCCCATTTTACAGATATGGAAACTAACAATCAGAGACGTTGAGTAACTTCCCTAAGGTCACACAGCCAGAGAATTGTGGCTTGGAAATTCACACTCTGACTCCCAATTCTCTTAACCAAGTTGTGCCCCACAAAAGGTTCTGAGTCTTCCCAACATTCTAGTGAAAATGAGCTCCATGATCCAAAATCATGGGCCTCCCTGGGCTCCGTGGGGAAGATGGCTCTAGGGCTGGACCAATTGCCACATGGGGTTTTTAGAGAAGCCAGCTCCTACTCGGCTGATCCACACCTTCCCAGGGGCCTTGCTTCCTTCTCAGACATATTAGTTGCCTGCTCTGTCACTGTAGGTGGAGGCCTGACCTGGAGTTCGTAAATACTGGATGATATATGGACCCTGGGATCTGAGAGATCTTTTTGTGTTGGAAACTTGAGCCGAGCAAAGATGTTCCTGTTTTGTTTTTCGTTTCTAATCTTCTAGGTCCATCAAAGCTTTTTTTAACTCAGCTTCTCTTGACTCCAGACGTTCTGCAAGTCCCCTGTTTGGTCTTGACAGGAGCTGATAGAAAGAACAGTAACCCTTTTAATGTAAACAGAGGCCTGGTACCGACCAAGACGCAGGGGATGAAGCCTGAGCCTGTATGAAGAGACAGACGTTTTCTAATCACTGACTCTGGGCCAGGGCTCTCCTAGGGTGTGTGTGCATGTGTGGGTGTGTGTCGCAGTCAGTGGGAGGGTCCAGGACACGCAGGCTGAAGAGGCTGGGATCTAAAACCAGAGAAGCCCGGGGCAGTCCCAGCCCCCAACTTCACAAGTGCCGCTGCTCCAAGTGTGGTCGGCAGACGGGTGCCGGGTCCAGGAACGGCATGTCCCTGGTCCCTGACAAGATAAGGAGCTCGGGCCAGAATGTAAATCACCCTCCTCATCAATCACATTGTTTAGTTCAGCTGGCAGTGCTTTGCGGCAAGACTTTCCGTTTGTAAAGGAAGCCACACGCATTTACGTGCTAGCTCAAGTCTCCTATCCAGGACTGGAAGAACAGTGCGTGACTGCAAGTTTCATAGCTCAGGGGTCTACAACCCCCATCCCCCACTTTAACCACAGTCTTGTCAAAAAATGCAGATTCCGGCATCGGGCCCAACACCCTGCATTTCTGCCAAGCTTCCTAGTGGTACCCAGGCTGCGGTCTCTGGAGCACACACTCTGAACAGTGAAGGCTGAGCACCTTTTACTCAACAAACACCCATTTCCTTCCCTTAATTGGAGGCAGACTGTGATCAGAGCAATAACACACCCCCCAAAATACAATTAAGACCTCTCTGGGGAGAAAAAAGTATGGCTAAATCATTGAGAAATCATTATCGATATCTCATTATTGATAAAATGAGAAATGGGGTTGACTGTGTTCTCCTCAGTTTTCTTTTTGCTTGTCTACATTTTCGGATTTTCTATAGTACACATGTGTGCAATTAAAAAATATGCAACTGGAAAATCTAGAGTGGAAAAAGGTGATGCTGGGACAGCTGCTTCTAATTATGAAGACTTTGCTAATATTTGAAGTCACTGCTTTGAAAAATTAGAGTGCACACCTTCTGCATACATGTTCTGCTTTGATAACAAGTTATACATGTATAAAGTATATGTACGAGGATGAAGGGGAATGTACATTACTGACTCCTGCATGGGTCACATACACTCTGCCAGTGCTCTGACCCTCATGACAAGTCCCACTGTGCAGATGAGAAAACCGAGGCCCAGAGAGATCAAATAACCTGCCTTCAGGTCACATAACTTGCTCTCAGGTAAGCAGCAGGGCTGGGATTTGAACCCAGGCCTCAGGCTCTGCTGATTCTGTTCAGAAGCCGTGTTGGAATACAGACCGCGGCTCCACCCCAGGGTTCTTGGCTCTGAAGGTCTGAGAACCTGCACTTTGAACACATCCCCAGGTGGTGACAAGGCACCTAGTCGGGACCCCACTTTGAGAACCTGTCCCTGCCTCACCTCCTCCCGCTGCTGGGTGCAGTCTGTTCTTTCTCCACTCTGAAAGCCCATCTGCAAAAAGGGGCCTGCTTGCACAAGGGCTGGCCCCTGAACTGAGAGAAGCTTGACTTTGGGCTAAAAATGTCTGCCTTTTAAGACACTCTGATTGAAAGCAGATTTGCAATCAGTTATTTTTAAGACTAATGATGGAGCTGGAAAAGCATGAACTTGTTCCAACTTTGCATTAAGTCCTCTCTTGGTTTCTGAGAAACCACACATCCCCGGTTTCTTCTAGCATCATGGCTTGACCACTAAGTGGTGGTGGTGGTGGGGGGGCAAGCTCTATTGCCCTCTGCCGGGCCCTGGCCTTCTCTGTCTGTACTGATGGCCTGAAAGGTTCCTGTGGGCCAGGCCATAAAGGCCCTGTGGACCAAGGTGGGACTTCGGATCTCATGCTGGGGAAGACAGGTGGCCACTGGGAAGTTTCCAGGTGACACGGTCAGGGTGGGTCCTGTGTTGACAGCAAGTGGCAGGGGCACAGGAGGAAAAAATCGGGGAGATGCATTAGGGGGTTACGGTGCTGGTCCAGGCGAGGGCTGATAGCGAGTTGGGCCAGGCACAGGAGAGGGGGCGGGTGATGAGAGGTAATGCGGTTCTGGATAGAGTCTGGGGGTCGTGCCTATGTCTCTGGGGGGCCAGTGGGGTGGATGGGGGCGTGAGGGTGAGTCAGGAGTCCTCACGAAGAAGGGGCTCTAACAGCAGGCTGAGGGGACTCGCCTTCCCCTCAAGGCCTGTGGTTTGCTAACATTTTATTTGTAAAATAACCTGGGGACCTTGCCGAAAATGCAGGTTCCTGTTCCCGTCCCCTGGGGGCTTGTCTGTTGGTGATGAGGCCCAGATACTACTTGTAACTGCAGTGCTGGGGATCTGACACTCAAGGGTGATCAGGAAGCTTCGGGACGAACATTCCCTCTTGGCTGTCTCTTGAAGGGCTCTTGAGGAGGCAGTGGAGTGAAGAAGTTGAGAGCAAGGTCTTTTGTGAAACCTAGTGCTGGACTAGCCCTGCCATGGGTGATCAAGAGCCTCTGGGGGTGCAGAGAAGAAGCTCTCTCCTCTGAAATCCCATTGCCCACCTGTCTCTACCATCTTCATCTGCTTGGGCTGCCAAATAACATAACACAACACCATAGCTGGGGTGGCTCAGACAACAGACGTTTATTCTCTCAACAGTTCTGAAGGTGGAAAGTCTGAGATCAGAGTGCTAACGTGGTTTAGTTCTGGTGAAAGCTCTCTTCCTGGCTTGCAGACAGCTGCCTTCTCTCTGTGCCTTCCCAAGGCAGAGAGAGAGAGAGAGAGAGAGAGAGAGCCAGCCAGCAATTGGCATCTCTTCTTATAAGGACAGCAGTCCTATTGGATCAGGGCCTCACCCTACGACTTCATTTAACCTTAATTACTTCCTCAGGGGCCCCAACTCCAAAAACAATCATACTAGGGTTAGGGTTCCAACATATGATTGAAAGTGGGGGGTAGGGCATGCTTTAGTCCATAGCACCCTGGTCTGTAGCTTGGTTCTGCTGAGGTGCACCCAGTACTTGCAATGTCTCCTGCCATTTACCAGGTCTTCGAGATTACTTGAGCTGTTTAGGAGAAAATGTAAGAAACCCTGCCGCTCTCCCCTGCTCCTCCACCAGCCCTGCAGGATCACTCCTTACAGCTCTGATGCGGAGCTGGAAGTATCTCTTTGGTAACATTGCTTCAGTGACCCATTACAGTAAAAGGGATGAAAGGA